ATTCGTGGAGTGAAACGAAAACTTTGTACTTCACACGCAAATGGAGGCTGCCAGTCCTAAACAGAGACAGAAAGACATTTTATTGCTTCCAGAAACTTCTCGAGGCACAAAACCAGCAGACCCCAATGAAGCCTGAGTAAACAGGCTTCCATCAGTAAATGAGTTTCTCAGTACAACTGGTGATATCATTTTCCAATTTAAAGACATTCTTGTGCTTACACAATAACGTTCCTCCCACAATATTTTAGCTAGAGGAAAAGATCCTCACAGAAGTAAAAATGTAAAAGAAAATAAGGTTTCAAATATTTCAGTATGCATTGCTTCACACTAAATTTAAATCAGTGGTACACCCTGCAGCTTGCTGGTTAGTTACTCTAAGAAGAGTTCCATATATCTTGCACACTGAAATATGCTCACTGTCAACAGCAACAAAGACTAAATAAAGCACATTATAACACATCTAGCATTTTCATGTATAAAGATAAGACCCCCAGTCAGGAGCTCAGCTCTTTCAACAGAAATGGAGCCTTAAACAATGACCTTCTCAGCACCACCAGTCACCAGTTGGTTCAACCACAAGTGCCTCCCAGCCCCATCTCCCACAGTTGTGTTACAACATCAAAACAAGTCATTCAGTTTTTCAGCACTTTTTTTTTTTCAACAAAAGCTTCAGTTACAGTGGATTATCTACCTGGCAGCAAATATAAGAGAGCAAGGACACCCCATTCCAAGTGGACAAGCCACACTAATCATTTATTATTTGCTCTGCTGCAGCACATAAAGGCCTCAAGTCCAACTGTAAAATATTTACAGCTTCCAATAATGGAAAACAGCAATAAATCAGTAAGGTTAGTGTGAAGTGTCTGATTTAGTCCTTCTTGCAGGCTGCAAATCAACTCGTGCATCCTGAGAAACCCTGCAGTGCGAACAGCTCGGCAATCGCAGAAAAACACAAACACATTCCACGGCCAGGAAAGTTCTCGTTATTCTCAATGAACAGGACTTGGATCGGTTCCTTGGGGCCTCTCAACCTGGGCCATTCTGCTTATTTTAGAAAGGGCAGCCCCGTGGAGGTCAAGTCTTCCCCGTGCCATTAAACCAACTAAATAGATTCCGGGAACCAAAACAGGCCGGGAGGAGGATCACGAAATCCAATCGGCAAACCCCGTATTTGAGTTCACGCTTTCTTTTCAGACTTTTAACTATCTCGGTATTTTCAAGCCTCTTACTTAACTGCAATATTTAAAGTCCATTTGTACTTTAATAATGTAGGGACCTAACTACATTCTGCCTTGTCGAGATGGTTTTCCCAGGTCACTGGACAAGTGATCGTGAAATAATGACCGAGTCATCGGAATGATTAAGCTTCTTCCTCCTAAACTGCCTCAAATAAACATAATTCCCCTGCACAAACAGGGTGGCCGCGCTCCTCTTAGCAGTTTACAGGCTATGCTTATAAACAGCAATCCGCTAAAAACAAACACCCTCTTTTCTCTCTCCTCCCCTGCCGGAACAAACGCCCCAGCTCGCCCACGAAGCGCTCGCAGCTTTCGCAAGTCGGTCGGTGGGGTTTTTTATTGAAGTGACGAGAGCGTGAAGTCCCAGACGCGTCCACGCACCGTTCGCTTCTCGCCTTGGGCAGAGCAACCTCCCAACACCCCACTTCGAGGTCAGACACTCCACAGGTTCCTCGGTGCCCCCCGGCACGGGCACTGCGGCCCATCGGAGGGGACACCCGGCACCCCGGGATGGGGGGAAGGCGCTGACCGGCCCTCCACGCCCCGCGCGGAGCCCCCGAGCCGCGCTCAGCCCCCCCGGGCGCGGTACCTTGGGGGGCCGGATCTTGCAGATGCCCGTTTTCTCGGCCAGAGCACGGATGCGGCCGATGAAGCCGAGCGGGTCGCTGAACTCCTCCCAGCTGGGCTCGAACACGGGGCACTCGGGCGGCGGCACGAACTCGGCCGCATAGCGCGACCCGCCGCCCCCCGCCATGGCTGCAGGGGGAGGGGGGCGCCGGCGCCGCCGGGAGCGCAGGGCGAAGCGGGGCGGGCGGGGCTCTCAGGGTCCGGAGCAGGGGCCGAGGCGCATCCCCGGCGGGGCGGGCGGCGGCAGTGCCGCAGTGACGGTGGCGGGCGCTGTCCCGGCTCGGGCCGCTCCCCCTGCCCGAGCCCCGCTCCTCGCCTCCGGCCCGCCGGAAGTGACGAGTAGCAACACCCCTTCTCCGGAACTGCAAGGCGTGTTGCCTTCCGAGCCGAAAAGTAGTCCCTCTGCCGCTCCTCTGCTGGCTAGGCACCTCCCGCGCCCGCCGCCCCCGGGGACGCTCCTCCGGCAGGTCCCGGCGCGGACACGCCCGGACCACGGTCTCTCGGGGCACCGCGCGGGGCAGGAGAGCGCAACGGGGCGCGAGGGCGGGGTCGGCGCCACTTCCGCCGCGGAGGAATGTGCGAGGAAACCCGAGCCATTCAGTTCCGGTGCGGGGCGGCCGCGTCGCCCATTGTCTGGGCCGGACGGTAGGCCGCGCCCACAAATAGGACACGCCCCCTCGCAGGCTCCGCCTTCCCGTAGGTCCCGTCCTCTGGAGCGGGAGGGTCCGTCCGTCTGTCCGTCTGTCCGTGAACGCAGGACCCTCCTGAGCTGGGTGGGACCCACAGGGACCATCCAGCCCAGCTCCTGTCCCTGCACGGGACCATCCCCAACAACCCCACCGTGTGCCTGAGAGCGTTGTCCAAACGCTCCTTGAACTCTGGCTGCCTTGGCGCTGTGACCACTGCCCTGGGGAGCTTGTTCACTGCCCAACCGCCCTCTGGGGGAAGAACCTCCTCTTAATATCCAACCTAAACCTCCCCTGACACGACTTCAGGCCATTCCCTCGGGTCCTGTCCCTGGTCACTACAGAGAAGAGATCAGTGCCTGCCCCTCCTCTTCCCCCTCACGAGGAAGTTGTAACTGCAATGAGGTCTCCCCTCAGTCTCCTCCAAGCTGAACTTCCTCATGTTGTGCCAAGTACTCCACTGTCACCCCCCAACCCCTGCTGCTATGGATGGATACTCTACTGATCTCCCCCTATGCACCGTTTTATTTCCTAAGTCAAGTAATCACAACTTAGGGTTTGTTAAGTACCTCCTGGGGCTCATTAAGTACCTCTTTTACCCGTCCATCACAATATAGTCTTCCAAAATAAATTGTACATTGTTAGTTTTTTTTTTTTTTTTACCAGAACCCTGCCTTCAGTGTTCACCAAATGCCACGTTTCACTTTATTCTCTCTGAATATTTATTCTCTTGATTATTCAAACTTCGGTGTTGGTGTTCTATTTCAGGCTCAAAAAAAGTTAATTTCCTCACCCCCTCTTACCATGAGGCTTACAAGATATGCTTCAGACCAAATACATTTATCTGCATCACTTCCTTGCCAGTTTAAAGAGGTGTCGCCTGCATTGTACATGTGGTAAACACATCCCCACTGCAAATGGTTAATTTTGACAGAAGTTAAAGGTAAGGGCAAACTCATACTCATCTTATAAAACGTTGAGCAAATTGAGGTTATTCTGTTGTTGCAAAGTATTCTTGCATTTTGCAGGGATTCCTGGCATGGTTGCTTGGTACTTTTATGTAAGACTATATAAGCATGTGGAATGCAGATATTTTCTTGCCAGTATCCAGAAATCATATTTCTATGAACTCCTTCCATTTTTTTCTTATTTTTATTTGGTTGTGTCTCTCTCCTGACAATCTGTACCAGAACCCTTTGAGGAAATAAATCTGTTTTCTATTCCCATCAGCAGAATCAACAACCTTTCCAGTCTGAAGATAAGGACCGATTTAGCCAGGAATACCAGAGGTAAAAATCTCCATGCTCAAAAGCTTTGTTTTGAGAACCACTCTTTTGCTGATTTCCCTGTAGACTGACTCTTCAAGGTTGTTTCAGCTTTGTGTTAATATGTTTGGGTTAGTGGAGGGCTCTGGAAGGCAATGCTGGGAATTGCCCAAGTTTTCCTAACAGCAAAAAGCTAAATATCCCAAATAATCCAAGGGGGCATTTTTCTCATCATACCAGTTCTGCAAGGTATCGTTTTTGAAACAGAATTTTACGCTTTTCTCTGTTATCTGCTCCGGTTTAGGGACTGTTTGCTTCTGAAACACTGGTCCGTGCTAGGACTTGTGTACCCTCTATCAGTCTTTATTCTTCTTAGTTATCTGGAAGTATTTATCACTTTCCTGAGAGAATACTTCAGCCCTTTGTACAATGTATTCCTCTGCTCTCTGGAGAGAGCACCCAGTGTAACTAAGGGGAATCACTGAATATCCTGAGATGGAAGGGACCAACAAGGATCATCAAGTCCAAATCCCTAATAGCATAGGCTTTTTTTTTTCTACCAGCACACTTAGTGAATTAGGAGATCGTGTGTTGCATAAATGGTAAGACCACTAGTTGGTATTTCTGGGTACTCGAGAGGGATGGAGAGGCTAAAAGGCATCGAGATGATTCAAAGAATACATTAAATCCAGGCAGAATTCGAGCAGGTAACTTTTTGTGACTGCGCAACATCACGTCTCGTTCAGTCCATTTCCAAACACAAATGGGCGTTTGAGTGGTGGTTTTTGCTTCTGTGTATGAAAAGAGTCCCCCCTGCCAGGTTGGCGTGTATTTGGCCCACAGGTCTAAGGGCTGCCCTCGTAAAACCAGGGTTAACACGCGCAGGCCCCGCAGTCCCTCCCTCAGGCCCTCCCCCGTGTCCCCGCCATGGCCGCGCAGCCGCCATGGCCCCTCCGACCGCCCAGGGACTACAGCTCCCAGAGCCCCCGCCGTCCGTGTCGCGACCGCTGATTGGCGCAGATGATTGACGTCGCATGGAAAGCCGTCTGTGATTGGAGGAGGCGATGGGGGGCGTGGCGCCACGCAGTTTAAGCCGCGGCGGGCGGAGAGTGGCGGTTGTTTAGTCGTTGGGGCCGTGAGGCGGCGGCGCGACCCCCGTCCCGGGAACCCCTGTCCTAGGGCTCTCCCCGTCGCCGGCCTCCCGGAGTGCCTGAAGCTTTGCTGTCCCCCGCCCGCCTAGAGCCCGGCGCTCCGCAGGGGCGCGATGAGCGTGGCGGCGACCCCGCGCTGCTCGAGGTAATGAGTGTGGGGGAGCCGCTCCTCCCGGGGCAGCGGGGGGCCCGCAGCCCTTTCCTTCCTGCCCGGTGGCCTGGTTTGTAGTAGAGCACTCTCTGGCCCGCTCTTGTGCCTGCTGTGCTTCCTTGCTTTTACACTTTTCCGTTTTTGCTGCTCTTCCGCAATAAGGCGCTCACCTTGTGCCTGGGTTACTTCCTTCCTTCTGGTGTTACTTTTTTTTCTAAGTGTGTTAAGGCATTTCTGGCCTTGCAGCAAGTTCCTACGTGGAAAAAAAAAAATCATACTTTTGTATATTTAATGCTTTTCTCAAGTGCCGGAGATTGAGGAGCTTGGCACGTTTTCATGGATGTGCATTGGGGTTCTATCTAAGCAGCTTTAGTGAGTGGCTCCATAAAGGTCACTACTGCCTCGGTGCCATCCATCAAATCAGTTTATCATCAGCATTCTGGCACCGGCCCCAGGGTCAGATTCTGGACTGTTTTCATTAAGCAGATCTTTAGTAAAGAGGCTTCTGTTACTCATGGTATAATTTAAAAAATGAGCTTTTCAGATCGATATAAAAAACAAAAATATTGCATTCCAATGTAACTGTGAACCCTGCAGCTCTGTTTGCAAATTTGGTCCTTGTTTGAGCAGATTAAATGTTTGAATAATGTAAGTATTGTTTATAAGAAACTACATGTAATCGTATATATCCTTAATTTGATTTGAATAATGTTGACTTGCTTTACATCTAGCACTTCAATGTATGATAGAAGAACTTGGCATGTTCTACTTCACTATCGAGGAGGGACAAGCTGTGTGGATAAGGTCAAGTACACCAGAAAGGAAAGCATGTAGATTTCTAAACCTACACCTTAAATTATAGTGGCTGGTGCATCACTTATCTTGAATTATTGCCTTTATTCAGTGGTCTGTCTCTAGAAAGTGTTTCTTTCTCTGAGTATCAGATAGTGACTGTCACAGATTGTTTTCCTGCTCATTTTGGCTTCTAATTGCACAACAATGGTTTTTTTGTCCTCTGTGTTATGTCCTTCTTTCTTCTTCCTCTTTTCACATTCACCCTCCCTAAATAACCTATGAGACTTTGCTTCCATAACACTTTTTAATCCTTTTTCCTTAAGTTTGCCCCTTCTCCACAGTATAGTAAACCTGCAAGCCATTCTATATCAAAAGTTTTGGTTCTCCTTAATGCTGTGACCTCCTGTTACACCCATAGCACAGTCAAGCTAATCCGTGTTTTAAATTGAATCTGTGTAAAAATTTAAAAACCTGTTCTGCTATTTTAAAAAGTGTTTCAATTTTCATCTCTGAAGCTTACATGTCTCTGTTTCTGTCCAGGCTGCCAAATCCCCATGTCTCATCCAGATATGCTGATTGTCAATCTCCAAACCACGAGGACTTGACTCCTCTGCCTTCTATCAGTGAGCGCTTGGCCCGTCTCCATCCTTCCCGGGAGTTGCTGGAATACTACCGCAAGAAGATTGCTGACTTTGATGAGGAACAGGAGGATTTGGTAAAAAGGCTGGAGAGGTACAAAGAAACGTATGATGATCAGGTAGGGAACGAGTTTTTGAGCAATGATGGACTACATATCCTTGCACAAACTTAGTGGTTTTCCTTGGTTGAAAACTCAGCGTAGATGTCTCCAGATTTACCAATAATGTGGTGGAACTGAGCTCTGAAGAAATAAGTAGATTTTGATTGTGGGGTGTGATTGTAAAGTCTAGTTGTCCTCTCAAAGCAGACAGAAACATACCTTATTCTAAAGTTATCATAGTTTAGTTATATCTTTTCAGTGGGGTTTTTGCTTCTTTTTTTTTTGTTTGTTTATTTGTTTGTTTTTATTAAGGCCTGAATTTAGATGCTCATTCTTGATATTGTCCAGTATCTTCCCCTTTTCTCTCATAGTAAAGGAGTGCTCTTTTGCCCAAATTTAATGGGCTTTGAGTAATGGATATAATCTGTATTTACCACAGTGGAATTCATACGCAGAGCAGTAAACTACACAGCAAATAAATGAGAGTTTACAAGAAACTCCAAAACCTACAAATTCGCCTTTTAAGAGGAAGAAATCTTACAGAATATCTGTAAGATATTCAGTGTTCTGATCTGCCTTAGAGCATGTATCTGTCTAGCAGTCATCTTGATAATTGTGGATGGTCCTTTGGGAGCAGAATGATCACTTTTGAGGTGACTAAGGTGTCTTCCCAAGTACTGGCCATGCTAGAATCAGCCTGAAAGCAGCCTGGGGAAATATGTGCTGTTCAAGTTACTTTCATATGGGAAAAAGAGGGGCAGGTTCCAAAATAGTGCCTTCTTTCGTAGAGGACTGATTTTCCATAAGGTTTGTTAGTTTTCCACACCAGGTAGAACATAATTAATGTAACTTAGTAACTACCCGGATTTCTCACTGCTAAACCACACAGATACTTTAATGTGTATTCTTGAGTAATTTATTTTAAAAGTTAAGTGCTATTGCATAGGCTTTGCTCTGTTTTTGTTGATGTCACACTCCCCGTACCTGTGCTGCTGTGACTGCCAGCATGGAAGTGCAACCACTGGCAACTGGAGACCCTTGCTGAGGCCTCATTGAACTGTTGTGTAGTGACAGTGATTCTTGGAGCTCTGAACTCCCTGCTGAAACATTTTAAAATAATTTTTCCAATGCTGCCTTCAGCTGGACAAGTATTATAAGAGAATAAAATAATTCACTTGAGCTGGCTGTTGTTCAATACCAGTTATAGGCTCAGGCCACAGGCAGTTTGAAGTTCATAAGTGTCATCCAATGCTCTGTGTCATTTCAAGTACCTCGTTCTCTCCACTCAGCACAAGTTGCAATGGGAAGTCCGTCAGCTGGAAGAGGAGATTTCAAAGTTACAGAAGGCTTTGAGTGATATGCAAGTCTACCTCTTCCAGGAGAGGGAACATGTCCTTCGTCTTCACTCAGAGAACGACCGGCTGAAAATCAGGTGTGCTGTCGTAGGTGGTGTGGGCTGGGTCACAGGCAGCAGCAATTGTATAACTGTGTGCTAGTTCCAGATCTGGAGCCTTCAGAGAAGCAAGTATGGCACACTTCCTGTGGTGGGCTCTGCTGGGATGCCAAATATCTTTCCACTTATTATTCCTCCTATTCTGGTAGTAGAAGAAAGAGCAGAAGTTTAATGTAGGTTCACATTTTGATTCATGCTACCAATTTGAATGTGGAAGTTCTGATTGAAGCTGGCTCTGGTGAGTTGACCTTGGCTGGATGCCAGGTGTTCACCAAGACTCTGTATCACTCACCTCCTCCCCTGCACAGGGGAGAGAAAATGTAACAGAAGGCTCATGGGTCAAGATAAGAACACAGAGAGAACACTCACCAATTACTGTCATGGGCAAAATAGACTTGACTTGGGGAAACTATTACCAATCAAATGATCACAGGGCTGGAGCACCTCTCCTATAAAGACAGGCTGAGATAGTAAAGGCTGTTCAGCCTGCAGAAGGCTCCAGGGAACCCTTACAGCACCTTCCAGCGCTTAAAGGGCCTCCAAGAGAGCTGGAGCGGGAATTTTACAGAAGCATGTAGTGACAGGATACAGGTGATATCTTTAAGTTGAAAGAGGCCAAGTTTAGATTAGATGTTAGCAGAAAATTCTTCACTATGTGGTGAGGCACTGGAACAGGTTGCCCAGAGAAGTTGTGGATGCCCCATCCCTGGAAGTGTTCAAGGCCAGGCTGGGTGGGCCTCTGAGCGCCCCTTAAATATCCCAGAGGTGCTACCACCGTTGTGATGGGCTTGGCCTTGGCCAGTGGCAGCTCCATTTTGGAGCTGGCTGACATTGTGGCTATTGAACATGTGGGAAGAGCTTCTAGCACTTTCTTACAGAAGCCACACCTGTAGCCCCCTGCTACCAAAACCCAGATGCAGATCTTGCATCTCCCTGGCAAAAGTTATTCAGCCCTAAAAACACTTAAGCTGGAGTAGAAAATACAGACCAAAGCAAGTAGTTTTCCTTCCCTCTGAGATCATGATGGCAACCACTCATTTTTAATGCCATTTAGTTGGTGAACTGTAATATAACCCATCATACCAGACAAGCTGCCAGTGGCAAAGTTGCTCCCAACCTTCTTCAGAATATTTTTGAGTGATAGTTTTCTCTTAAAGATTTAAGAACTTAAAACATGTGTTGCTGTTCTTTGACACTTTTCAAGAGTGTGATGAAAAGTCTGACACAGGTCTTAATGTAGTTACAATCTGAAAGTTTATAACTTTATAATGAAAATGCTTTGCCGAGTGCTATTGTTGTATCAACCCATGTAGTACTGTCATATTTGAAAAGAGGCTCTCCAATCCCAGCAGAATTGGTGGTGTTCTTATTATATTGGCAATGTCACTAATGTATTCAGGAGGTTGCTATTAAAGCAATGTTCTCAATAATTGCAACAGTTTAGAAAACTTGTAAGCATTAACAAGTAATGTCTTGATGTATTTTAAAAAAAAAAAGTGCTTTCTTTGAATTCTAGGGAATTGGAGGATAGAAAAAAAATTCAGCATCTACTGACTGTAATGGGAGCAGATGAGGAAGTTACATATTTTCACAAGGAGCCTCCACATAAGGCAAGTTCCCATATTTCTGTAGAACTCTGCTTTGGATTGTAACATGAGTATCTGTGCCCCAGAGTGACCACAGACCTGCAAGTCAAAAGTTACTAAATGAGCTCAGTACAGGAGGGATCTGTAGCAACATCAGGTTTTAGTATAAATGCTGAAAGGTAAATATGGACAAGGACACTGAAAGCAGGTCCTCTTAGCATCAACCTCCTTCTGCCTTCAAAACATAGCTCTATGTCAGCCTTCTTAATGTCAGATAGGAGTCTGAAGTCATCTGGCAAATGGTCATTGAGAAGATGGAGAGAAAACCACAAGAAGAAAAACAGTGCTGAAAGCAACCAGGTGCAGTGTTTGAAGGTCAGTTATCTAGGATAGCCTCTCTTAGGGCCTCACTAAAGAAGAAAGGGTCAAGGTTGCTGCAACATTTTCTTGGGCAGAAAAGCCATCCCCTTAAGGCATCATTGTGTCACATATTTGAGAATTATGTTTAAATTGATTAAATGGCAATGCAGGTGAAGAGCAGTGTAGCTGAACCTTTATAAAGTCATGAATTATTCAGACATAGAGAGTCTGTGAGAGGAATATAGAATTTGTCTTGGAATAATGTGCAGAAAAAGACTGAAATAAGCTGCATTGTTCATGATTGCTCTGCACCACTCAAATACTTCAAAAATCTTGAAGCTTTAAAATTCCTTGGTTTATGGTAGCTCTACAATTAGTGCTATCATGTAGTACTGACCTAAAAATAAGCATTGGGATTATAACCTGTTCCCTCATGGCTTTCTTTTTTTGTTAAATGGGTTTTGGTTCAACAGTTGAGTTGTTTCAATATTCTTGACACTGACTTATTATCCCAGGCTTGTTCAGTAGCTTGAATGAAGCCTCATGTTTCTCTGTCTTGCTGAGACAAGAGGGAGTATGAAAGAAGGAAATAACATCATCTTCACCTTCCTCTTCTCCTCTCTATCCCCAAAATGCTCCTTTCCTGCTGAGGGTACTGACTTTCATCCTAATGAAGCCAGAAAAGGCAGAATTACTTTCCACTTGTTTTGGTAAAAAAAATAGAGGCAGAAATGGCAAAACTCAGCCATGATAAAGGAAACTTTTCAACATGGACATTACACTTGTGAATGTCTTCCTTGTCTTGTGATAGAAGTAAGGTAATGCTGTTCTTTTGGTTATCTCATTTTAACTTTTTAAGATTTGTTCTTGACTGCTGCTTTGGAGAAGTCAGATGTTCAGTGCAGATATCTTGTTTCTGTAGGTTACTGTTCTGCAAAGGCCAGCAGAGTCATGTGAACAAGATGATGCTTCTAACCCAGGTACCACACCAAGCTGGCTGACAGCAGCTCCCCTACTATGTCTGTCTCCAGTATACTGAAGTAATTCCTTACTGTGAATGCTTTGGTAAATCTCCATCAAGTTCCCTAAATGTCCACGTGCACATACATATACCTGCAGTGCTCTTGGCTGCCTTTCAAAATCTTTTCAAATAACCTTAGCTGGCTCTTGTGTCCATGATCTGCCCAGCTAAGGGAGAGGCTGGTGTGATCACTGGATGGCTGTTATGGAGCTATGCAGGTACCAACTGGACAGGTACCTTTGCCACAGCCATTCTGAGGTGTGAGGTTCTACCTGACTTGCTGTAGACAGTAGTGTGTATCTGTATGCCTATATACTTATTTTCTCCTTTACCTCATCTAAATTGACTGAAGTTAGCCAACAAGCTCAAAACTCATTCAAGGCTTGATGTTTGTGCAGCTATGACATCTGCCTGTTCATCATGTACATAAGAAAATGTGGCAAGTTTGCTTTCTATATATGCCAAGAAAATTTGTACGTTGCCTAAATACTGAACACTGCGGTCTGATGGACTGGGATAAAGTTATTGTGATCACCCTAAGCTGAGAAATTGTTTTCGTTCAGCTAGCCCTCCTAGAAGTCCTTGTGACTGTAGCAATGGCAAGCTTTTTCCTGTTGCTGTAGGCCCACCAGAACATATAATATGTCATGCTTAGAAAGGTACTGCAAGTAGATTGGAAAATCCTTTTCCATTTTTGTTAAATTTCTGCAGTAGGTATCGAGAGGAACACTTCAAAAGAAACTGCGCAAAGAGAAAAAACAGAAAGTCCTGAGAGATACCAGAGTGATAGTCAAACACTTCTACTACAGGTAAAAGCACTTGCTAACCAATAGATATAATTCCTGGCTTGCAGAAAACTGTGATTAAAAAAATATGCCGTCTGCTTAGATTAGATGTAGATGTGCCAATGTTATCAGTCCTTGTATCTTAGTATAGATTCACACTTCCTGTCAGTTTACTTAGCTGTTTCTTTGCAGTGAATATAGATTTAAGAACTTGGGTCTGATTCTGGAAGCTTTATGTAAGCAGATGTTCCAGTAATGCCAACTGAAATATGTTGCCCTTAAGTATAGAATATGTAATGGATGTTTTCTCCCACAATTTGATAGTGGCTATGAATTGACATTAAACCTACTGAATATCTGCAGGGTTGGGTGTTTTGTGGAAGTCTGACAAAAGCAATGTGTCTGAGACAGTATTGGGCAGCCCCAGTAATATGCACCTGTGCAATGAAATGTTCCCTTTGTTAGACTTCAATGAAAGGCAGCATGACAGAATGAAAGACAAAATGTGCAGTATCATGAATTGGGGAAGATAGCACAAGCTGTATGTAAAGTACGAGGAAGGATGGTTCAAGAAAAGCAAATTAAGGACTAACTTGTACAGCAGATATTGGTGGTGGTGGTTGTTATTATTATTAATAATATTTTTTGTTCAAGGGTGGTGGTGACTGACCTTGCTAGTTAGCTATCTAGCAACATTTATTCTGGAACAAAAGCATCATTCAAAATTGACGTAAAAATAAGCAATCTAAATACCCACCAAAGTTTTTTTCCCAATAGTTTGTTACATAAAGGCCAGATGCCTATTTTTCAATTACTTGCTTCAGTGTATCTCACTGACTATATGCCCTAGATCAGGATTCTCTGCATCCCTCTCCTTCATTCATTATCTCGTTTACATTCAGTAATTAATTCTGTTTGAGTAATTTCTTTTGTTCAATGTATGTGGACTTGCTGCCTTCCTAGAATTTAGGTATTTTTATATCACCATTTTATTGGAAGATGGTAGCAGAGGGATGGAAGTGTCTCTGCATATTCCACAGGATTTGTCACATGTAATTTAATCATGTGCAATTTAAATCTTTCCAGTATCTTCAATCTGTTGTTGTTGTTTATGGTATACCTCTCTTGCCTATTTTTTAAAATGATTTTTTAAAAAATGTTTTAGTTGTTTGAAGTCCTTAGCACTAAAACAAAAAGAAAAGCTTGAGAAACTAGAACTGCCAAAGGTGTTATAGGGTAGAGTCTTAGATTTGAAGCTTGAAATCTAAGAGACTTGCAAGAGCAGGAGCAGAACTGGTGCGAGATCTCGTTCAGCAATGTCTGCCTCTGCTTATCCAGGTCCAGGCCTTGCAAGCTCAGATAGAAGAACAGACACGATTATCCAAAGAACAGATCGAGGCACTACTAGAGGACAGGCGAATTCACGTGGAGGAAGCTGAGGTCCAGCATCAGAGGGACCAGGAGAAGATCAAAGCTGTAACAGATAAGTGAGTGTGAGAGAATGACCACAATGTAGTCATGAGAAGAGATGGAACAATAGCAATGTTATGACTTTGAGTGTGTTGCTTCCTGCAGCAGGTAGAAAAGCTAATTATGCAGCCATCTGGTAGTATGCATGGAAGATGATGAGTGGAGTCATCTACGTATTTAAAATCCTATTTCACACAGGAAGAATAGCACTTCTTTCATTAGATGATAAGAGCTAAGATCAGTAGGAGAGCACCTATCTTTTTCTTCCATGCCGCTTCCAACTTGCAGTGATGACTGAGGAAATTAAGGTAGGAACTAGGAAAGAAGTTAATTAACTCCACTGAGATCCCTTTTTGCAGGCTCCAAAAGACCCAAAATCTCTTATATGAGAGTACTCGTGACTATCTCCAGCTCAAGTTTGATGCCAGAGCCAATGAGAAAGCATGGATGGCAGAGAAGGACTGTCTCTTGAGGCAACTTGGCAGAAATCTGGATCAACTTGTGTTCAGCACTGAGTCAGGACAAAAGAAGCATAAAGGTACCAAGAAGATGCTTCGAGCAGATGATGGAGCTTCAAAACTCCAAAGCAAAGAAATAAAGGTAATTTTTTTTGTCCTGGCCAGAGGCTCTAACAGTTTTTGAGTAGAAAATTGCCAGCATCTGGGCTTTCGCTCAATGAGCGGTAGCTAGCAGCTGTTTCAAAGCTGTACTGGCTTGCTGTAAGTTACACTGATTTTGGCACTAATCTAACCCAAAACTTCTCCTGCTTCAAAATCACCATTGCTTGCAAATTTCAGATAAAATGTGTAGTTAGGATTTATTGTTGTGTGTCACTGGCAGTTTCTTTCATGCCCAGAACAAATCCTTAGCTCTCTAAGTCATTTGATATGTGGGGCCAACAGTTTTCAACCTTCTGGTTGCACATGGCTTTCTGTTAGTGCAAGTGCTCTGAGCTAATAAGACTTAAAATGCTGTGTCTGGATCTTCCTTGCTGCTGTCAGGGGAGAAGGAGTCCTTTCAGCTGATGTACTCCAGCTATTTTACAGTAGTCAGGATTTTTCTTCCACTTCTGCTATACTTCCAGTGAGAAGCTGGGAGATCTGAAGTGGGTAAACAGGCAATAAGGAAGTGGAAAGTAAACAGGCAATAGGGAATATTTTTCAACTACCACTGAATGCAGATGCTTCTGAAATGCAGTACTGGGAAACAGCTGTGAAGAGGGGAGTTGAATATTTTTATAGGGAAGAGGAGTTCTTTAACTGATGAGAAGCAGTCATACACAATTTAACTTAACTAAAAGGTTTTGGTAATGGAAGTAATGGTAGAATATTGTCCACTACTCCTTATTTCATTAGCTGCAGCTCCAGTTGTTAATTTTTATTTGCCTACCGTATTGGCAATTTTATCACACTTGCTTTTCCAGAGCAGGGGAGATTTTTGTAAGCACGGTCTTTTGAGTTGATTCTTTCTGTTTCTCCTATGTCCTAGTCACTGCAGGAAAAGCTAATGCAGGAACAACACCTATCACACATGTACAGAGAGCAGTGTGTCGCCCTGGAAGGCGAGCTGGCTAAGATTCGTGAGGAGAGAGATGCTGGCAAAGAACTCTTTAAGGTAATTAGTCTCCAATCATCTGCTAGCTATGTGATGATCTTCAGCCTTTATTTTGTATACCCTATTGAGTTTTCATCTCCATAGGAACGCTCAGAAAAGATGGGGAAGCGCCTGAAGCTGATGACTCAGCGATGTGAGGCCCTGGAACAACGTCGTAATATGGAAGTAGAAGGCTTCAAGAATGACATTAAACAGCTTCAGCAGAAACTGAAAGATGTAGAGAGGCAGATTTACAAGGTAGCAGTTAAGTATTTCAGAGGCAGACTATTATGGGCTTACCCTATAGAGCTGTATGCTCGGTATTTAAATGCACTATTTCCCTAGAGTTTAGGAAATAATTTCTTTCCTAAGTGCACCTTTAGATACCAGTGTTTGACAAAACTTGCCTCTTATGTATTTCACAAAGTAAAAAACATGTATTTGTTAGTCAGTCAGGCATTGAGCTTGCCAGGAAGTGTCCTGACTATCCATTAGCTGAGTGCTTTTGTTTCCACTCTGAAAGTTCTTACGTGGAAGCTGTAGCTCCCTTTGCTGTCTCAAAATTGCAAGGCAGTAAAGTAGTTTGATTCAGAAGTTTATCCTGAAAAGGAAATGATTTGTTTTCCTTCTGGGAGCCATAGCATTTGGTTTGGATCCAGTAAGATGTAGATCGCTGACTGAAGTATTGTGAATATTCGATTTGTTACTTTGTTAATATGTCATCTATAACTCTGCAAAAATCACTGCAGAAGCTATGGCTGGCAGTTGACTCTGTGTACTCTGTAGTAGCTTCCAGATGTGTAGGTGAACATCAGAACAGTTTAGAAGGGAAGCCACAGTCTTGATGTTGCTGGGAGTTTAGGAGAGGTATTTATCTAACATATGTTTGAGAGGATGATCCAGTCACAGTGTAGACTCCCTTTGTTCCTGTGCTTTTGGTGCACAGTTCAGCTCACTTGGACTAATGCATTTATTTTAACTAAAGGCCTTGTTTTTTTGTTTTTGTTGAGCTGTGGGTTTTTAAACTTTATTCTGTAAGGGCTAAACAGCATATGCAAAAGGGGGGAAACTGTCTGTGATACCTTTGCTATGGACCTGTATGTTTTATATCTGTGTGTGTGCTTTTAATTGTATTCTCAATTTCGTTACATTGTTAACCACAAGAGGGCAGGGGAACAAAATACTTGCTAGAGTTCTCCAGATTGATTGTTAAATCCTTCTCATCACTTGAGGTCTGATGGCTACATTTCTTGATTTGCATATTAAAATCTTTGATCAAGAACTACATGATGACAATAAGAAAACCAGACAGGTCAAGAAAATAAAGGGGTTTGAGAGTAGTTTCCCAGCCTGTGCCCTTGAAAGTGACTGGGCTGGCATGCCATCCAGTTCCAGGGTGACAGGAAATGTCAGCCCTGGCCAGCTTGCCATCAGGAATTCTGATTATCCAACAGCCTTTGTTCAGCTCAGTACAGGCCATATGTCTCTGCCTGAAACAAGGCGTTGTATTTGAACTGCTCTTGAACCGTGTGCAGTTCAGGAGGCAGCAGGTCTGGCACAGTAGTTAGCCCACCTCCAGTTTTAGTAGGAAAAGAGGATAAAATGTCATCATATCAGGTGAGGTACTTAGAACTAGATACAAGTTAGTTGATAAATAATTTAACTTGCCTCTTTTTGTGGGTCTCTAAATAGTACAGGAATTGGAAAGGAGTCAACAGGCTATGGGTAGACTTGATTACATTCTATCCAGAATTCTTCTTTGCCAGTAATATAGCACTATAATGTTATGAAAGGTTTGCTCTTTATTTTTGGTTCTGGAGCACCTTTCTGTTGTTGATGTGCATTATCAAAGTGCCATTAACTTGCACATCTCTTTAGGTAGCTGCAGAGTGTCTCCTTTAGAATTCTTTCCCTCATGCACTCATCATAATACTCTCTAAATTATATTCTGTACAGTTTGGTTTATATTAATCTGTTTTTCTTTCCCTCTTTAGGTGACTCTGAATATGGGACCAGGCCAGGATATTGCAGTTTTACGCGAGGTCCGCCAAGGAAACAGACTAACACGTAAAATTCAAGGAGAGCTAAAAGACTTAAAAGCAAAAATCTACTGTTTAGAGAATGAGCTACGGATCTGCTGAGGCTGAACTGTTAGCTGACATCCTAGTTTTATCAATGAGACACTGCTAAGTGGAATGCAAGAGCAGCTCCTGCTTGTCTGTTTCCTGGCATCCATCAACAGAAGGTTTGAGGAAATCTGCAGTTTATGTCATAACAGCATACATGAGTCGTTCCCAGAGTGCCAGATTATAAGGCTGTTTCAGCTGAGACATGGCACCTGATAAGACTGACATAGAGAGTACATGATGACTGATACATCAGGAGTGTGTGTATGACTTATTCTTTCCATAACTGTGGTAGGGATCAGTGTATACTGGCGTTCACCTTTATTTCGAGTGTATGATAAACCACATATGTAGTTATAATGAAATTAATAATCATAGAAGGATCTAGTTCAGGATCTGAATTTTGGCTGACCTTTTCCTATGTGAAAAGCAGCTTTTAAAATAGTTTAAATGATTACCTTTTTGATGCTTAGCGCTTCACGATGTAACTGGAGATTTTCTTTGGGAAAGACCACGTATAGAACGTATAGAAGTCTGTACTAAAATGTATTACATCTGACTCTCCCCTTGACAGCATAACTACTTTAAAATGGCTCCCCTTTGTTTGGTTCTACCTAATTGGAACAAACCTGACTGATGTAATATGGTGGGAAAAGATAATCCTTTATAAAACTCATCTGCAAGAAGCAGCAGCATAGAACTTGTTTTGAATGCTTGGTGGGAAGTACTGCACTGTCAAGTTTCATCTTCTTGTCCCCTTCCTCCCAGTGTATCTTAACACACAGAGGGTGCCCATAATATAAGGGATCCAGTGTCTTCCTTAGCCACCACATTATCTGCTGTTGTAGCTCTAAACAATATCATGGTTATGTATAAAGAAATTGTTATCAACTTCTGCTACAGCACTTGTTGCTACTGAACTGCGACAAACTGGGGTGGAAGAGCAGGTGCCTAGTTGCTACGTGAGAACTATAACTCTTGCTGTGTAATGATTCTCCAGCCATATGATGGTTGGATCGCAATTCCAGAAAACAGATGGAATCATGAAAAAGGTTACAGCAGGGCTTTAGCCAAGTTTATAATTGCAGATGTTCATGCTTTTAGTGTTGTGTCAGCAAATCTTGTCCACCTTGTGGCTGAAGAGTAGATCTGTGTTGGGAAAAGGGATTTCAATGCCTCTGTTTCCTACTTTACCTTTTCCTACCTTGTTTCTGAAGTATACACACCTTACAGGCTACCAGCACTTCCTTTCCCATTGAAGAGAACTTGGTGTGTGAAAGCAGGCAATTTCTTTTTGGCATGGAAGTGGCCATGGAGATCCTCATTCAGTGTCTGAGAGGTAGATAAGCTAAAGATGTTTTTGTGCTGTCAGGATTTGGAGAAGGAAGAATTGTTTCTATAGCTCCAGCTAAAGCAATGCGGGAGGGGAAATTTCCCTCAAGAAGTCAAGACTTCCTTTAGCTGTCTAAACTACTTGTGACAAGCTTGCTGTCCTGTACTGTGGCTTTTATTTTGTCTGTGTTCCTGAGGTCAGTTCATCATGGATTTTCTGCTGCTGCTCAGCACTGCAGCTTACAAGAGGCTGTTTTAAGGTATGTTGCACTGGTTAGTTTAACTGAAAATGCTGAACTGTTCAGAAACTGTTTCATAAACAACTTGAGTGCCAATGCAGTGTGGACAGTTGGGGAAGGTTGTTTAATGCTATCCATCTTTTAGTCTCAGTAGACTAGTACCTTCTCAGAGAACTCAAGCTAATTAAAGTGAGTTTGTATGTGAAATAACATACCGCTGGTTTGAAGACTAGATATCGAAGTTATTTCAGGTCCTCAAAGACTACTTCAGAAAATTGATACATAATGAAGCATTAGCCACTTATTCAGCAGGATCCATCTACTTAAACTCAGCTGATGGGAAACTACCAGAAAGTCTCATTAACCTATAGAAATCAATGGGTTCCTGTTTAGTTTCCACTGTTCCAAGCTAAAGAATTGCCTTCGAAATTACGTTTTGCTCACTTCAAAACCATGAAGTGTGAATGGATAAAGACTTCAGGCTTTGTAAGACTGGGATGAAGTATTGGAGGAAGAAGGATGTAAATGTTTCATTTCCTGCCTTCCTTACCAATACTCTTTACTACCTGAAAGACTGAACAGAATAAAATGACAACATTCCTAATATATTTGCTGATGTGTCAAAACCAAAGTGCAGCTTGAACTTGATTCCTAATTTCTTTCTAGCCTATGAAAACTTCCTATTTGAGGCGTAGGGGAATTATGGTATTGCTACTTAGTAAATCCATTTTATTTAGAGGCTTGAATATTTGTCCAAGTGCAGGAAGTGAAAAGTATTGTACGTGCTCTTTGTGTGACAAAAAAATGTGGACCTTCATGCCAAGAACTGCTTTAAGAAGCTAAATGCTTCCTACCACTGACAACTACTCTTTAAGATGTCCATAAATAATTATTGGCATTTTCAAAAGGATTTCCTGGGAGAGGTTCCACTACCTAGTTTGGTCAATTTTTTCCCACGATTTTTTGGGTAGAAATCAAAAAATAGCATTTAGTCCAAAGACCAATGAGCCTTTTTTGCTAGTTTAAGTTAGTAATGTGTGACTTGTATTATTCCAATACAGCTAAATGCCAGGCTGGGAATGTAGGAGCACAGAATTTTGAAAGATCTCCAAAATGGCTGCTTCTAAGAATATGGAGACTATACTACAGGATTAAAGGTTAGAACTGGACAAATGCTCTTATTGTGAGCCAAGATATGAAAATGTCTCTTGCACAAATAGGAGAAAAATTAATAGAGGAAAACCTTATTGTTGTGCAGCTTTATTTAGGTACGGAAGGAGTGCGTATGTTTTGGAAGGAATGTTGGAATATTGGCTAAGGCACAACCACAGATGATTCAGTGGTAGAGAAAAGGTTGTGCAAGAGCTTGTTTTGTATTACACTAAGACGCCTGATTAATATACATGTTTCTTGAAGACAAAGTAATCTACCCAAGGCCTCTCTATCCTAGCAGAGCAATGCTGAGCAAGAACAAGTAGCCTGAATCTGAAGTAAACTTTAAAAGTGTACATTTTTAACAGGAGGATTGTGCTTTCCCCCCCTCATATGGAGGGAACAAATTTTCCATCTCTATCTTCAAATCAGAAAATTATTTCACCTCTGGAGAAGGTAGCTTGTTTTAATAAGTTCCTGGGTTTGACACATTAGAACTTAATGAAATATAATGACATGAACTAACAGGAAATCATTTAGTGGTTCCTTCTGGCTTCAAACTTATGATGTATTTATATGCAATACTTGTAGGAGTTTTTTAGTATTCGTGCAGTTGCCTTAATTAGAGGAATGTCTGCTGTGTCAGCTAACCCTACACAGCAAGGTTACACGAGGTAAAAAAACCACCCAAAAATAAAGAAAATCCCTTGTGATCTTCCTCTACCACAATCTGCAGTAATTTGTGACTGCACTTAGAAAAGCAGATTACAGTTCTCATAGGTGTCAGAATAAATCTAAACAGTAGTATAGTATGTACTGTATTTAAATTGCCTCTATAAGTACAAGTATCAGTTCAGAAACACACACACTTTAGCAGTATTGATGGACTGTCCAGGCAGCCTGATATTCTGCAAGTGAAATGTCTCTGTATGTAGGGCAGGAAGTAATTCTTTGATAACTAGATACTACTTCTGAAACTAGCTGGGAGCAACATGCCTGTATACTTTGTTCTGGTAGATCTGTTCATACTCATGAGAAGTGATGTCGTTCAGACTTTTAATGACAACTCACAAACACATTCAGTTTGATACACCAGAATGTGTTTGTGCCTACTTGGTCAAAATCTTAATAATGATGTCCCATTTGTCCCCATTCAAAATGGCATCATAGGTCATTTGTAGTCAAGGAACACTTTAAGATTTTTCTTTAATTTTTCTGCAGTATTTTGCATTTATGTTCTCAAGTTGCTTTAAACTGTAGGAAAATATCCCTTTTACTCTCTACACAGTTATTCCTATATTTGCAAGTCTAGCTGTACAAGTATATACATTTTTTAGCCTGTCAACTGTGATTATGCACCAAAACATGATTGAATAAAGTGTAGAAAGTGTGAGAGGTGGCAGCTGCGATGATCCCTTCTGGCTCTTCATAAGGTTTCAGGCACAAAGATTTAACTCACTAACAGGAAACATTTCTGCTGTGACTAAGTATTTGAAGAAGAGTGGAGTGGACTTCTGGTATTTCCCATTTAGCACCAAATGAACTGTTGGAGAAAGGGCATCTCTGAATATGGGTTAGAGTGGCTGCCCTTCAAGTGAGCTCCAGAAATACAGCTTTAAAAACAGAGCCCTCAATGGGGTTGACTGTTCACTTACGCTGACTAAATTGCATTTTTTAAGAATTGCGATGCTGTTGGACTGGGGACAGATTACAAATGTGTAAATACAGATTATTTGGTTTTATTCAGAAAACTCAGGCTTTTAACACAGAAGTGCTTCAATATTAAAGCAAGACAATGATTTTACTGCACAGGCATGAAGGGATTTGTTGTTGAAATGGGTTTGATTTTAATAAAAAGCTCTGGATTTACCCTGGTGAAGCACATCCAGGAGGTGCTCAATTCTCCTGTATTGATTCAGAGATTGAATTACCTTTCGTTCACTCTAAGTCCTTCTAAACCATCCAGTAAAACAGTTTTCCTCTTCAATCCTAGCTTGGACAGACAGATATCTACAAGGGATGTTGTTCATCAACCATGTTCTGTAATGTCCCTAATAACATGACTGTGGAACTTCTTGAAAAGTAAGGATGATGAGCACAGTCACTTAAAATACAAAACAAGTACTAGGACTTCTAAGACAGGGAAAGGAGGAGATTGAGCCAAGACTTCAGTTTTGAAAGCATGTATTTCCCAAATGGTGGAATACGTAGATACATCTTTCATTATGGTGAACATATAAACCCTGAAAAGTTTTGAAAGTTCTCAGCTTAAAGTATATAAAAACCTTTTTCTGCAAGTGAAAACATGTGCTCTAGATATCAAGAGCTTGTTCTGGTGTGCAGAAGGTAATTCAGGTCTACTCCTGGGACAGGACCTGCAATCAGAAGGTGCTCCTAGAGGTACTGGGTGAAGTTCATGTGAAAATGTGCCCTCCTTACTGAGGAAAAGGAAGGGCAGCCATTTCTATGTAAGTTTATCTGGACAGTTAGGGCTCGAAACCTATGGAGAGTTAACGGTGAAAAGAGAGAATCACGAATGAGGCTTTCCACTCAGACGGGCAAGTTGTAGGAGAGCAATGTCAATCCAAGTCAGCACTGAGGGAGCACAGCAATGTGTACAGCAAAAGGAAGTCTCCGAACCCAAATCAGACCAGCTCATACAAATGTTGGCAGTATAACTGTACTGGTAAAATATAACTATGTTAGCAAAACTCACTGTATCAGCACAGCTTAACTGGACAAGGAGGTCCTTGTGCTAATGGGTTGTTGATTGTGGGACCACACTGATTCCCTTACAGTGACATTCAACTGTGGCATTGACAGGGGTTTTTCTGGGATTGCTCCACCAATAATGCCTTTTAGAGCCCTGTCCTTTCCTGAGGAGCCAAAAAGGGAGATAATGGGGAACTGTGTCTTCAGAGACTGCCTTTTCCTCTTAGAAACACTTCTGCCTTTGAGCCATTTCGATGGGGAGTGTTGAGATGAAATCATTGTTTGTGCTTCAGAGCATGGCTGAGGCCAGGAAAAGGGGTGTGGAGCCACTGGGATGGTGAAGTCTAGGGACAGTTGGGTATCTTTGGTGTGGAGCTTGTAATTAGTGTTGAAAATCACACACAAAAAAAAAAAGGGAAAGAGCAAATGACAGATAATTGAACCTTTGGGGAACCTACAGAGAAAGGATTGTTGGCATGGAGCTGAAAGTGATTTATAGAACAGAAAAACGGTTGTTAGATAACTAAAGGCAAAAGTATAACGAGGAGAGGCAGGGATGTACAGAGAGGGATCTAGAGAGGGGAGCTGGGAGGAACAGGAGATGTGCATTAAGAGCTGCACTCGTATCAAAGGCTGCTTTTATCACGAGGAAACATAGCCAAAATGGAAAACAAACAGCAGCTCAAACAAAGCAAAAAAACCACTCCAGTTGGCTCTTCTGGCAAAGAGTCAGTTTCTTTGAAGTGGATATTCAGGGTAGGCTGGGAGAGGTGTGTTCTGAAGCCAGCAGTGATCTGTCCGATATTCAAGGGTGGTCTGTCAGGAATGCCAGCTCCCTGAGTCACCTCCATACAACACAGACCCTATTCCTGCATCACGGATTCCAGCTCACTTGTTGTTTCTTTCCCTGATGGGGTTAATCCCACCATACAGGATTATTATATGCTGTGGTTTCCACTGCTACGATATTGCACACAGTGAAGATGAGAGATGTGGCCATCTGGGCATGCACTTGTGTGACTTGGGGTGCTTGAGAATTTAGGAATATAAGACTGCTGGTAAAATTGAGAAAATAACATTTATGTGAGGTGGTTTTAAAAGACTGCTGTCAGTGGTAATGTTTCTTCTGGACATCAGTGCTTTCTGCAATGAATAAGTGGTCCAAAATTAGTTATTATAAGTGTAGTGTAGAGCTATTCAAATTCCTGATTTCACTATTTATTACACATTAAGATTAATTTTGTTCCTTAATATTGTTCTGTTGTAACTATATTGTAATAGATAGAAATCACCATGCTATAGTAATTTTCTTTTTTTTTCCCCAGAGACAAGAGCTTTTCTGTCTTTTCACTATAGCATAGGTCTATCAGGAAAAAGACTTTGTTTCTTTGGAAGTCAATTTGTTAGCCTTTAATTTCACTTTTCCCTCCCCTCCATTTTAGTACCATGTTCAAGTAGAAAGAAATGTGCTTACTTATTTTAATATGCAATGAACTTCCATCAAAATGCAGTTGTAATTTTTCAAGCATAAGGTTGTTCATTTAAGAAATGCAGACAAGTTCCTACTGAGAATACCTCATTCAATTCTCATTCTTTAAATGACAAATAAATTTTATTTTAGATCTGTTTGTATTACACTTTTTTCTTAGTATTTTCTCTCTTTTTTGGAACAAATATAAAAACTTGGTTTATTTCGCTCACATCGGAGAAACCCAAACCAACACTCTACCAAAAAACTCCAACAGTGAGTGTCATGCCCTCATGAGATTCCTGCCTTCCAATGATTAAACTAGTGCAGAGCTCCCTGTTTTCAGTTGTGGGGGTACTGGTGGCCTGGCTCTGGGCAGCCCTTTCCCTTTGCACTGGAGGAAGTACTCCCGTGATTTAAGCTGGGATGGTGGATGTACGCCTGTGGCCTTGAGTGAGGTAGGAAGGAGAAACAGAAGCTCAAAAGCTGTGGAATGGACCTTGCCCCAGGGAGGCTGAGAAGCCCAAGGACAGAGCCACTCACCAGCCTCCCTCACCACTGGCTTCGTTTCCAACTTCGGAAAAATCATGTCTTTCCAGCTCTGAAACGAGGTGTAAAACTCTCTGGATGTGCTTTCCCTAATCAAGAGAAGGGAGATGGCTCTGAAACCTTTGTGAGACATTCATAAAAAGGAAACCCATCATCTGTTGGTCCATCCCAATATGTAACAGGTAATAGCAGTGTCTCTCGGTGCTGCCTGGATGCTGGGAACACAGTGTACAGCACTTAATGCCAGGGACTATAGATGCAGCACTTGAGACGCTGGCACTCTGCCCATGTCAGCCCGTCCCTGCTGAGACTCACACCACAGTTCCGTGTCCCTCAATGCCATTTAAAATGCCTTTGGCATGTTTTTTAAGCTAAATAACAGCAAGCGTCCTTTTGAGCAGCCTCCCACTTTAGAAGGCTACAGTGGAACAGTGAGTCACAAAAAAAAAAAAAAAAAAAAAAAAGTCTATCATCATTGCATGCATTTTCAAAACTAACTGTAGCCAAAGGGTTTCTTCCACACAGCACAGGAGCTGCATCTGTGCAGGAGCAGAGCTGGAAAGGGAAAAGGTTGTTGCCAACGACCCAGGACCCAGCACCCACATCATACATATCTAGTAAGGGGTAGTTCTGGACTGGCTCCCCTGCGGGCCGCACGATGTTCATTCCCAGACAGCATCTCTCGCTTTCACTTCACCCAGGAGTTTCCGTCCTCCGAGACAGCTGGGTCCTCCGAGACAGCTGGGTGATGTGAATAAAACCAACAGCGCGGGAGGGACTCTGACAGAGCCACTTCGAAAGTGTGCTCGAGGTGCGTAACGAAGCACAGCGTTCGCCCAGGGAAGGTCCTGTCCTTCCCGTGGGGCTCCGACATCCTCCGTCCCGGGGGTCTGAGCAGTGTAACATCGCGTTCAGTCAGCTGCTTCGGAAAGCGGGTCCGGAGACTTCACGAGCCCCGTTCCTCCTCACCGAGCAAAGCGCTTCCAAGCAAATACACTTGTTGCACCAACTGAAAGACGCTTAACGATGGATTCAGCTGCGTGCAATAACTGTGTGAATTTGAATTGCCCCCTCTCATCCTGCTTCGCTCCGGTGGGAGGACGGGAGATGATAACTCCTCTGCCCGGAGGGATCTCCCAATACTCCCGCCGGCGCTGAGGGAGGGTTTGGAGCCCCCTCCGCTACTGAGGCGACTCTCCCGCAGCCCTCCGGGGGAACGGAGCCCTCTGAGGGGGTGTCCCTGCTCCCGGCCCCCAGCGCGGCCCAGGCAGTGCCAGCGCAGCCCCGCGCGGAGCCCCCGGCCCGGCCCCGCGGGGCGGAGGCAGGTGCGGGGGGCGGCGGTGGAGCTGCCCCGGGAGCTGCCCCGCGGGGGCGCGGCGCCGCCCCGCACCTGGGCCCGCCCCGCCGAGGAGGGCGGGAGGCCCGAGGCCGCCGTGCGGTGCCGGGCCGGCGGGAGCGGCATGTCCCGGGCCGGCGGGGGCCCGGCGCCCTGAGCGGCGCCATGCGGGGCCGGCTGCTGGCGCGGCTGCGGCGCCGGCGGCGGCTGCTGCGGCTGCTGCTGGCCCTAGGCGCTCTTGCCCTGGGGCTCTGGGCCGCCTATCTGGAGCTGGTGGCCACGGCGGGCGGCGGGGCTGCCCCGGAGCGCAGTGAGTGACCCCCGGCGCGCCGCGGGAGGAGGGGAAGAGGGGGAAGGGCTGGAAGGGCGGAGGGGGGGTCGCGTCCCTCGCAGCCCGGCGGGGCCCCGGGGGGTCCGTCCCGCTCGGGAGCCGGTGCGGAGCCCTCTCTCCAGGCCGGGGAGGGACGAGGGGTGAGCGCAGCCCCGCTGCTTCCGGGGGTCGAAGCGGGGCTTTGTCCCCCGGGAGGGACAGGGGCATTGAGGGTTTCTCTTCCCTGCCTTTGGCCTGTCGGCGCTCGCCCCGCTCTGTGTGGGGAGACCTGTCCAAGTGCGACCGTGCTGGCATTGCAGAGCCCGGAGACACGGGCTTTGAGATGTCTCTCGTTCTCGGTGCCAACCTGGAAGGCAGCAAAAATGCTTTGAATATCGCTTTGATGCGAGGAGAAGCGTATGCAGAGGAGGAGGGAATGCATACCCTGGAGAGGAGCACCGCCCACCCAGTAACGGGCTCGCTTTGTGCAAACTTTGAGGACAACAGCGGGGATGATGCGAAGTGCACTGAGGTGTTTTTTTTTCCCCCCGAAGAATCGGAAAACGGTTATTTTTATCAGTGTCTTGTGGGTTTTTATGCTTCTCCTTTTATTTACAGTTACAGGAAAGTTTCAAAGTCCCACTTTTTTTAAAAGCTTATGATGGTGTTGTTTTTAAAATAATACCAGTGCTTGGAGTTAATCTAATTTGATAGTAATTTCTCAACTGCACGTGAGCGTTCAGCTATTAATGCTTTCCACTATATTGGTCCCTTCATAACATGTTATAAACCTCCTAATTCTTACTCCTATGAGTCAGGCTTGGTTTCAGTCTTAAAGCTTTAAACTCCAGCTGTGCAGGGAGTACCATGAATGTCTAGTCCCATAAAGTCCACTCTAGGACTTCAACTTGTTCATCTGCTTTGTATTGTATGTGATGTTAAGGCTAAAACCATGCATTTATTGTTCCAGCCAGGTAACAGATCTGATTTCTTTGGCTAGGATAAACCCTCGAGTTGCAATCTGCTTATTATGCCTGGTGGAATTCCTCATTCCTAGTGAAATTAGAAGATGGGTTGCACTACAGGTCTGCTTTGTGTTATATCTTTCACGCAATCTCACCAAGCTTCTTACTGTACTCCACTTTGCCAATAGCCCCACCAAAGATCCTTAGAGAAGACTGTACAGGTGCACAGAAGACTTGTGTAGTACAGCAAGGGAGAAAAAAAGCTACTTAGAAATACTTAAAATAGCGATTATGAGGGGAGAGGGGCTGAGTCAGGTGCTTGGAGTTCTACAGTTGATGGTCTTTTTACTGCCAGCAATGCAAAGGGAGATGGAGGGAATGGGATAAATGGGCAGAGAGCACGAGGACAGCAGAGATGTGCAGGAGCAAACAACTTTTTTAATGAATTGGGTTCTTCCTCTTTGCTTTTAGACAGGGTTGTTTTTACATCTCTTTTGCAAAAGTCAGTCTGTTTTAAGATTGAAACGGAAAGCAGTGACATGACTACAGTTATCAGCAGCTAAAACAAGATGAGAAAAATAATTACATTATTTGAAAGTTCAATTATATAAAAGTCCATATTCTCCCAAATCCACCAGAGACATTGCTGCTCATTGTGTGCAGAAGGATTTAAATGCTGCTGGAAAGGGTGGGAGGGTGAAACCCTCCAGCTGGCAGTGCCTCGTGGCTCTGCAGCATCACAGAGGGCTGTGATCACACTGGGCACTTGGTGTCATGTTTTCTTGGCCTTGTGGCCAGAATCCTGGAACCTGCTAACAGGAGGAAGGTTAATCCGTGACCCTCCCCACCCTTCCTCTTGCCCTACTACCTCTAAAATCCTGCTTTGTTTTAAAAGAAATCAGAAATCTGAGTGAAAGACAAAATAGTATTTGTTTTCTTTTGCCTGTTAAAACTAAGTAATGTTTTCTTCTCTGGGGACAGGGGTGGCTGTGTTTGTGACTCTGTGTGATGACTCCTTCCAAAGATGCCAGGGAACTGGTGTAGGAGGGAGTGACTCTCAAAGCAATTAATACTTTTCCCCTTGTTTCTGCATTGTGTTCCATTGCATGTCCTAGGTGAGAACCCTACTGCTAGTCACACTTGGGACCAACCAAGAACTACCACCTCAACTTATCTGATGCAACAGCCTCCCCATTTATTAATGATAAAATACAAAGACTGTTTGTTGGGTAATTTTTCTGAGCAAAAGGCTAAGAGCCTTCTCCATTGGGGCAGAAAGAGGAAGAGCTACTGAGCTTGGAAGGAGATCTACAGGAGATCACTGTTTCTATCTTATATATCTGTAAGGAAGTTTCTTCTTGTCTCCCTAAAAGGCATTGTAGAACAGCTAGTATATGGAAAGCCAAGTATGTTTTCTTGGTATCCATTGGCATCCATGATGCTGCATCCCCATGTGCTGGGGTGGGCTCTGGCGGGAGGTTCACTTTGCTGTAATGTTAATGTCAAAGGTTGAGGGATCAGCCTGAGGTGCAAACCTTGTGCTTGGTGTACACCATGGGTTGGGATTCATGTAGGCAAAGTTGATCGGGGCTGTTTGTGGATGTCCGGGAGGTTGGGATGGAGAAGGACAGAGGATAGAGTGGGTTACCTTTGAAGGTGATGCTGAAATGAGCAGTCAGTCTTGTTAAAAAAAAATATTTGTGAGCTTTATTGACAGGACTCTTCTCTCATGGGCAGGAGGGTGTTTCCATGTTTCTATTGTGGTTATGGGACTTGCCTTTTTCTTTTTTTTTTTTTTTTCCTTAATTGAGCACGTTTGGCTGGTCTGCTGCCCAATAGGTATTTATAGGAATCTTAAACATGTTTACAGCTGAGTGAAGAAAAACAAGCAGTCTGATGTGAGTTGAAGATGGGCACCCTCTTCACATGAAATGTGGCCTGTTGTCGTCCAAAACAAGTTGTAACAGGCAGGATACAGCCTCCCTGCCAAGAAACCTGAGGAGCTGGAGACAGTCTGTTTACTCCTGCTGCTGACAGGGCCTAACCTCTGTGGAGTGGGCTCTCCAGTGGGAATGTTTTTCTCATCTTTACAAGCTGCTACACAGCACACTTTGCTCCTGGAAGTGAATGCTGGAGATGGGAAGACTTTATTATTTCAAAAGTGAATGCACCTGGGAGGTGCAGCTTGTAGGAACAAGGAATCAAGGTGGGGGAGCCCTTCTTTTACCTACCTCTCTTGGCTGCTTCAACCTACCCCGGTTCCTCCACATTTTATTGTTGTGTGTAAATAACACTGTGAGTGCATTATCTTCCTATCGTGGACTGTGTTAGTGATTTCTGTCTCACTTCTAGATTCTCAGACTGCTCCTTTGCTGTCTCAGTAGTGTGCACTCCACTCTCTGAAGTGGGCAATAGGAGGGGTTCAGGAGAAACCATGGAGATGTGAAAATAAAAAAAGTCCTTATGGCAAGACTTCCACCTCTGTAGTATGTACATCTTCAGTGTCCCTATCCTTTCCCAGAGCATTGGCTTCTTATCCCTTCACCATGGTGAGCTCTAACCTTCAGGCATCCAGGCTACTACGGAGCAGTGTGAGGTGCTTAAACCTGTTTGGTGTGACTGGACAGGTGTGTGTGTTTGTGTGAGAGAAGGAGCTGGCAGAAAGCTAAAGTTGGTCATTTATTGTAACGTATCAACTTCCTTCTCTCACCTCCGTGCCCAGGCACCCTCAGAAGCACAAAGAGGAGCACACCTACGTGCTCAGGTTCATTCACGTGCACATGGGCTGACTTTTGCAACCACTCACACGCGAGGCGACTTGCCTGTGCATGCACAGTATCGTTCTTTTGCAGAGCAGATTGCTCTGAGGGTTACTCAGTGAACACAGCGAGAAATCGGACCATGTGGCTCTCCAGTGGTGTCTGAAGTATCTATTTCCACTCTGTGGAAGCTGTTATGCCAGAGGAAGAGTTAAACTGTCACCCTCAAAGCACCTTGTCATGACTGAAGGAAGTGTCTGTACTATGAAGTTTGCATGTGGTTTTTCTGTAGTTTTGAAGACACTGGTGAGACCTTCACTCACAGGGACCTGTGCCAAGCAACCCCATTCCCCAAAGCCCATTGTGGGCCTGTAGCTGCGGGGAGAAGGATGGGCATTGCTGGTGGGGCAGATTTTTCACTTCCAGGTGGCCAGTTTAGTCTTCCTGGAGGGTGATCAGAAGTGCTGTTGTATCCTGCTCTGCACTGGTGTATGTAAAGGGAGCCAACATCCCCAGGCCCATATTCACAGCATGGACCACTATCACAGGCTCAGTGGAGAATCCAGGGCTGCTGAGAACAACATGGATCATTCTCTGTGAGGTTCGTTGACACAGCAGGCAGGGGATGCCCAGACTTCAAGCCAGTCATCCCATACTTGTCCTGGGCCAGTGTATCCTTTCACTGCTGCTAGGATATGTACTGCAGGTAATTTGTGAACCTGGCTTTTTTCACCACTTGAGTTGAAGTCAGGTAGGTGTTTGTTTTCTTGGAACTTGCCCCACAGTTTGTCTGTCCCTAGCAGATTCCCAAATAATTTGTAAAGATTACTTGTTATAAATAAACTCTTGCACCATCTCTTATGCACTCATGTTACCTGTGACAGATTTGTGTAGTGGTGTGCCAGAATAGTTTATATTCCTGCATCACACCTTCCTGTCTTGAGTTGGACTGGATTGGGATAACTCAATCTCAGAGGGGTGCCCTCCTGTGCATCTCCCCCGCACTGTGGGGTTGGCAGAGGAATGCTATTGTCTTCTGGAGATGTGTTTCGACATGTGATAGAGTAACGGGAAGGCTTTACCTTCTCTCACCTGCAAGTTCAGACAGATGTGAAGGAAGAGTGGTGCTGAGAGATGATGGACATCAGCTTTTATCTGGTGGTTTGAAATTACTGACATCTGCAATATGGTAAAAGGCAGGATGTTCCCCTGAGGACAGAGGTTGCCTTGTAGGTTGTGGCAGTGGGGAATGGAGTAAAGATGGGATTCTTTCTCC